AAAGTCTGCATTTACAAATAGATGTACTTTTGACCTTCCAATATTTAGGATATAAATGCTTACAGGAAAGGTTGAGATGTTCCAGCAGAGGATGGCTTATTCCCTCAGTGTCCATTATCTTATTATTAGCAAAACTTGCAATTTGTAGATAAGGAAGCTGAAATGACAAAGAAGTAGATATAATCATATGATATCTTAGGCTATCAGAAACCAAACGCAATTGCCGTGCAAGCCAATAATATAAATTATTGCTATACACATGTAACTGCAGCCCCCTAATATATATTATACAAGCATTTGCACAAAAACATCAGTTAAGAATTAATATAAAAYRGCGCRYGTGTCTCTGTCCTCYGATATAAACAYGGTGGGAGTTCGAAAAACACGAGAGAGGCAAGCTTAGGAACACGAGCRTAGCAAGTGTTTCTCTTGCTTCTCGAGTGTTTTTCAAATCCCACCGTGTTTATATCAGARGACAGAGACACAAGTGGCYRCTTTATATTATATTCTTTTATAAAATTTTTYGAGCGAAAAGAAAATTTTGCTGGTAAGCCRTGTCTCTGTCCTCTGATATAAACACGGTCGTCAGCCAATCARAGCGYGCGYTATATATMAAAAMTTYTATAATCAAATTTTCAAAGTTTTTTTTAGTTGACAGTGACTGATCATTCCTTATTTAGTCATTACTGACAGATATATAATTATTATATTCATGCAACTTATGGAAATTGTACCTCGTCTAATTTAGCTGAAGGTAGTTTGTTGCGGTCACACTTTAGAGTCAGTAGATGAGTGAGTGAGTTGATGGATGAGATGTCTGTAAGTTGGTTACCGCTGATATCCTGAAATAACACAAACAATTACTTCAGCAATGATAAGGAGGATGTGTTTCTATAAGTGATACATGTACAAAATGTAGTATATGTGTGACTCAGACAAAACTCGCAAGTTGGCTATTGATTGATGTACATGACTGTAAACCTCTGTGATACTTACCACGTATCGGAGGTGGATAAAACAA